GTGTGAGTAGAGACAACAACAGAAGTAAGTCCAAATCCAGATACAAGAATGTTGAGTGCAATCATTGTCACAAAATGGGGCACATACAAAAAAATTGTTTCATATGAAAAAGGGAGAACATAAACAATAATAGTAAGCAGAGAGATAAGAATCATGATGATGATGACCGTGTTACTACTGCTACTTGTGATGATCTGATTATTCTCCATGACCATGATTCAGTCAATCTTGTATCAGATGAGAGCATGTGGGATGTTGATAGTGCTGCTACACTGCATGTTACACCAAAGAAGGAGTTCTTCACATCTTACACTGCTGGTGACTTTAGAGTGTTGCAGTTGTTGCTGAGAGGAGTCAAACATGCTCCAGATGTTCGCTTCAATTTGATTTCTGTGCATATGCTTGATGAAGGTGGTTATGATAATCACTTTGGTACTGGAAAATGGAAACTCACCAGAGGTAACTTGGTTGTGGCTAGAGGGGAGAAAGATAATAAACTGTATTGGACTAAAGCATTGATTGCTAAAGACAGTGTGAATGTCATGATATGGAGGCTTCTTTGTGGCACCGCAGGCTTAGTCATATCAGTGAAAAGGGGCTGAATTGTTTAGCTAAAAAGGATGTGCTTCCGGGATTGGAGAGTGCAGAGTTGGAGAAATGTTCTCATTGCATGGATGGTAAGCAGACTAGAGTATCCTTCAAGAAGCATCCTCCCTCAAGGAAGTCAGAGTTGCTTGAATTGGTGCATTCTGATGTTTGTGGCCCGTTGAAGGTAAAGTCATTTAGTGGTGCACTTTATTTTGTTACCTTTATTGATGATTGTTCCAGGAAGCTTTGGGTCTATGCTTTGAAGACAAAAGACCAAGTTCTGGAGAAATTCAAAGAGTTCCATGTTATGGTGGAGAGACAGTCAGGCAAGAAGCTGAAATGCATTCGTACTGATAATGGTGGTGAGTATTGTGGACCATTTGATGTTTATTGCAAGCAGTACGGTATCAGACATGAAAAGACTCCTCCTAAAACTCCTCAGCTGAATGGTTTAGCGGAGAGGGTGAATAGGACTTTGATTGAAAGAGTTAGGTGTGTGCTTTCTGAAGCAAAGTTGCCTAAACATTTCTGGGGTGAAGCATTATACACGACAGTGCATGTTATTAATCTGAGTCCTGCAGTTGCTTTGAATGCAGAGGTGCCAGACAAAATTTGGTTTGGCAAGAATGTCAAATATGATCATTTACGTGTCTTCGGTTGCAAAGCATATGTTCATGTTCCAAGGGATGAGAGATCCAAGTTGGATGCGAAGACAAGGCAGTGCATTTTTATCGGGTATGGTCAGGATGAATTTGGCTACAAGCTATATGATCCAGTTGGGAAGAAAGCTGTTAGAAGCCGTGATGTGAAGTTCATGGAAGACCAAACCATTGAAGACATTGATAAGATGGAGAAGACTACACCAAAGATTGATAATAGTTTGTCTGATGTTGATCCAGTTCGGAGGCCTGTACATGATCTGGATACTGCTGAAAATAATGTTCAGAATGATGAGCAACATGATGATGTTGGTGACCAGCAACTTGGAGATGATGTAGATATTCCTGTTGATGATGCTGAAGAGGAACATGAGATGTCACAAGATGAAGATCTTGGTGATGCTCCTGAACCACCTCAAGTTCAACCTTGGAGGTCTAATAGGCAGAGGAAACCATCTACCAGGTATCCTTCTGATGATTGTGTTACCTTGACAGATGAAGGAGAACCTGAGTGTTTTAATGAGGCCATGAAGAGTGATGAAAAGAAGAAGTGGCTGGATGCTATACAAGATGAAATGAAGTCTTTGCATGATAATCACACTTTTGATTTGGTGAAATTGCCTAAGGGAAAGAAGGCTTTGGAAAATAGGTGGATTTACAGGGTAAAGCAAGAAAGCAATTCTACATCTCCAAGATATAAAGCCAGATTGGTGGTGAAAGGTTTCAGACAAAGAAAGGGTGTTGATTTCAATGAGATTTTTTCTCCTGTGGTGAAGATGTCATCCATAAGAATCGTGTTGGGTTTGGCTGCTACTCTTGATTTAGAGGTAGAGCAAATGGATGTAAAAACTGCTTTCCTTCATGGTGATTTGGAGGAAGAGATTTACATGAAGCAACCTGGTGGTTTTCTTGTTAAAGGCAAGGAAGACTATGTGTGCAGATTGACAAAAAGCCTATATGGCTTGAAGCAAGCCCTGCGTCAGTGGTACAAGAAGTTTGAGTCTGTTATGTGTGAGCAAGGCTACAAGAAGACTACTTCTGATCACTGTTTTTATTAAAAAGTTTGCTGATGATAATTTCATTATCCTGTTATTGTATGTTGATGACATACTTATTGTTGGGAAAAATATTTCCATGATTGACAGGTTGAAGAAGCAATTGGGCGAGTCATTTGCCATGAAAGAAATGGGAGCTGCTAATCAGATTCTTGGTATAAGAATCATGTGTGACAGGAACAAGAAGAAACTTTGGCTGTCACAGGAACACTATGTTAAAAGGGTGCTTCAGAGGTTCCAGATGGAAAATGCTAAGGCTGTAAGTACTCCTCTTGCTGCTCATTTCAAATTGAGTGTTAATCAGAGTCCTTCCAATGAAGCTGAAAAATTAGATATGCAACGGGTTCCTTATGCATCTGCTGTGGGGAGTTTGATGTATGCAATGGTGTGTACAAGACCTGATATTGCACATGATGTTGGTACAGTCAGTAGATTTCTGTCTAATCCAGATAGAGAGTATTGGAATGTTGTGAAATAGATTTTGAGGTATCTTCATGGTACTACCAGTTTGAGGCTTTGTTTTGGAGGTGATATACCTACTCTTGTGGGCTATACTGATTCTGATATGACTGGAGACATTGATTCCAGAAAGTCTACTTCAGACTACTTGATTAAGTTTGCAGGGGGAGCTGTGGCATGGAAATCCATATTGCAGAGATGTGTTGCATTGTCCACTACTGAGGCAGAGTTTATTGCCATTACAGAAGCATGCAAGGAGTTGATTTGGTTGAAGAAATTCTTGCAGGAGCTTGGTTTTGTGCAGGACAAATACTTGTTATTTTGTGATAGTCAAGGTGCAATTCATCTTGGTAAGAATTCAACTTTTCATTCTAGGTCCAAGCACGTTGATGTTAGGTATCATTGGATACGTGATGCTTTGGATGCTGGGTTGTTGGAATTGGCCAAGGTTCACACAGATGATAATGGTGCTGATATGATGACCAAGGCATTACCGAGAAGCAAGTTTGAAACTTGTTGTGAGATCGTCGATTTGGCGGTCACCTCCACATAGTTGTGAGGGGGAGATATGTTGGGTTTTGGGCTCCCATCCTATATGGAGAAAGGCCCAATATGTGCAAGTCCATGTGTCTCACTTATCTAAGTGGAGAGAGGTCAATTAGGGTAAGAGTAAGAGGTCTGATTTAGGAAAGAGAGGCAAGAGAAAAGTGAGAGAAGAGAAGAGAAACATATTTTCGCACATACACATAGCAGTTGCACTAGAATCACGATATCTCCTTCGTTCACCGTCCGATTTGGCCGAAATTTGAACTGCAGGTTCCTGACATCCGATTCTTCAATCTGCACGGTATGATCAGCGATCAGAGGTCTGAGGTGGGAGATATTGGCCACGCACAGTAGCAGCCCTTTGGAGTTTTCTGGTTCTTCTTTGTTCTCTATTACATGTTTTGTTGCCTTGTTGTTTTGGCTGATTGTTGAGCATAATTTGTGCTACATTTGAGACTCTCTTGTACCCATACATTGATCATAGTGGAGCTTGTTTACTGGCTTGTGCATGTGGTTGTTTTACTTCTCACTTTGAGAAGGTTTTTTCCACGTTAAAAATCTTGGTGTCTCTTTGTGTTGTTGATTTTTAGTTGCTGCATTATTTGTTGTTGCTCTTCACAGATTCAACAAGTTGGGGAAATTATATCCGCTCTGTATTACTCTATTAGAGTTGTTACTGTTAATTATTGTTGAATTTCCCATTATATATATATACCACTAATGTTTGTAGGTCGAACAAATGTGAAATGGTATATGTTTGCAAAAATAATTTTTTTAAATAGAATTGATTTTATTTAAAGTTAAAATCTTTAGTTTTTAAGTTTAAATGTGATTAAATTTATTGTTTAATTTATTTTTAAATAATTTTTTTCAAATATAAATTATTTTATCTTTTATTTTATAATATGAATCAACTCGTTCACAATCAATTGTTTTATTCAGCTCATTTTTAAATAAATTTTTTCAAACATAAATTAATTTTACCTTTTAACTCAGTTTTAATTTAAATTAATTTTATAAAATCAACTCATTTAAATCAATTCTTTTAATTGCAAAACCAAACACAGACTATAAATTGTGTGGTTCGATGAAGAGAATGAATCGTATAGTACAATGTTCTTGTTTGAGGCAACTATCAAATTACTATCACTATTCTATTCTTCCAATGGTATTTAAGAGACTTCTAAGGAATGATATTTCATATGCTCATTCATGAAAATGAATTCTCCGGAGTCAATGTTTTTCTGCAATTATGCAGTATATTTGTAGTCGTTCGA